TGTGGGAGCAAAGAGGAGGAGGGTGCCACGTCTGGTTGGAGGTCAGGGAAGGCCGCATAGGTGGAGGAGCATGCCAAGCAGAGGGGAGAAGGGCAGTAGGCTCGGAGGGGCCTGAGGGGTACGGCGTAGGCAGCAGCCGGACACCTGGGGCATGTAGGGCTGCAGGGAGGGCAATGGGGAGCAACAAGGCTCCAGGCCCTGATGCCAGCCTGGGGGCTGTGGGCTCCTGAAGGCTGGGGGTGAAGTGGCCAAACCAGCAGTTTGAGGAGCTCCGGACAACGGTGTGGAAAGCGGACTGTGGTCTAGGGAGAGCCTGGAATCTGGGGAAGCTGGAGTCTGGAGGTTGTGCTTGCACTTCAGAGGCGAGAAGATGGTGGCAGGAGCCAGGGCAGGGGTGGGGGGGCGAGGGAGTATCCCTAGGAGGAAGAAGGAGCAGGTGGGGTGCTCCCCAGGCTTCTAGCTCAGGGCTTGTGCAGCAGCACCCAGCAATACAGCAGGCCGGGCGGCCTGGGGACGGCCAGGGTATTTATGAGAGTCTTGAACTGAGACATACTGCCCAGCTGATGTCTGTCCATGAAATTGATGTCTTGAGAGAGGGTGTCCCCAGAGAGATGTGAGGCCTGGGAAGAGAAGCACCCCAGCACCACACTCTGCAAGCCCTCTATATTGAGGGAAAGGTCGTGGGAGGAGACCAAGGAGGAGCAACCAGGGAGGCAGGAGTGAAACCCGAAGAGCGGCCTCAGGGAGAACGGGGGGCGGGGGGACAGTTTCAGGAGGACAGAGGGGTCACCAACACCTGGGTAGATAAAGACAAGGCTTGAGAGTGGCCACTGGGTCCAATGAGGGCAGGCCAGCCTGCAGTGGCTTTGAGTGTGAGAGAGAGCAAAGAAGTGGGTCAATGTGGTTGTAGAGAACCCTTCCTCAGCTTGGCTGGGGAGGGGCCAGGGCCACATCTGGTCAGGGCTGAGGACATTTTCATTACAATTATTTTTTAATTAAAAAAATTTTTAGTGCCCTGGCCGGTTTGGCTCAGTGGTTAGAGCGTCGGCCCACAGACCAGAGAGACCTGGGTTCAGTTCCTGCTAAGGGCACATACTCTCAAAAAAATTTTTGTTTTTTAGTTTTTTATTATTAGTATTATATTTTAAACTCTCCTCCCCAATCCCATCCTCTCCCTTCCTTCCCCACACTACTGTTGGTGTCCATTGATTATGCATATATGCATAGAAGTTCTTTGGTTTATCTCTTCCTGCCCTGCCTCCTCCCTTCCCTTTGAGGTTCATCAGTCTAACAGCCAATTTGCACTTCTTAATTCCTTCATCTTCTTCACCCATCCCCCCAGCCTCCGCCCATCTGGCAAGCAACAAAAAGTTCTGTGTATCTATGAGTCTGTTTCTGTTCTGCTTGCTCATTTTGTTTGCAGATTCAATTGTTGATAGATATGTATTTATTGCCATTTTATTGTTCATATTTTTGTTCTTCTCCTTCAAGAAGACCCTTCAACATTTCACATAATACTGGTTTGGTGGTGATGAACTCCATTAGCTTTTTCTTGTCTGGGAAACTCTTGGTATGTCCATTGATTCTAAATGACAGCTCTGCAGGATAGAGTAATCTTGGTTGTAGGTCATTGCTTTTCATCACTTTGAATATCTCTTGCCACTCCTTTCTAGCCTGCAAAGTTTCTTTTGAGAAACAGCTGACAGTCTTATGGGAGCTCCTTTGTAGGTAACTGCATTTCTCTTGCTGCTTTGTTTAAAATATTTTTCTTGCTCTGGCCGGTTTGGCTCAGCGGTTAGAGCATTGGCCTGCAGTCCAGAGAGACCCGGGTTAAGTTCCCGCTAAAGGCACATACCTCGGTTGCAGTTTGTCTCCGGCCCTGGTTGGGTCGTGTGGGTGGCGACCACTTGATGTGTCCCTTTCACGTCTATGTTTCTCTCTTTCTCCCCCTCCCTCCCACGATCTGAACAACAACAACAACAAAATTTATTTCTTTTATTTCTTCTTCTTATTTTTTTGGGGTACGTGCCCCTAGCGGGAACTGAACCCAGGACTCTGCTTTACATAAGCCAATGCTCCAACCGCTGAGTCAAACTGGCTAGGGCTTTCTTTATTGATTTGAGAGAGAGAGGAAGGAAGAGGGAGAGAGAGATAAAAACATCAATGACAGAGAACATCGATTGGCCACCTCTTACATGTCCCCCACTGGGGATTGGGCCCATAACCTGGGCATGTGCCCTGACCAGTAATCAAACCGGCAAATTCTTGGTGCATGGGTCAATGCTCAACCAGTGAGCCACACCGGCCAGTCTTCTCTTGCTGCTTTTATGATTCTCTCTTTGTCTTTAACCTTTGGCATTTTGATGATGGTGTCTTGGTGTGGACTTCTTTGGGTTCATCTTCTTTGGAACTCTCTGTGCTTCTTGGACTTGCATGTCTTTTCTTCACCAAGTTAGGGAAGTTTTCTGTCATTAATTTTTCAAATAGGTTTTCAATTTCTTGCTCTCTCTCTTCTCCTTCTGGCACCCCTATGATGCAAATGTTGGTACTCTTGAAGTTGGTATTCTTCTCCTTCTGGCACCCCTATGATCCAAATGTTGGTACTCTTATACTAGCCTCATTTTTTTTTTTTTTTGGTGGTATGTGCTCCTAGCAGGAACCAAACCTGGGACTCTCTGGTCCGCAGGTTGACGCTCAACCTCTGAGCCAAACTGGCCAGGGCTATCCTCATGTTTTTGGATTTTTTTTTTTTTTTTGCTTCCTTATATTCCAAATAGATTGTTTGCTTCTTGTCTTCACCTACTCTACTATTAATTCCCTGTAAATTATTCTTTATTTCTGTTAGTGCATCCTTCATTTCTGACTGTTTTTTTATGTTGTTGATGTTCTCACTAAGTTCCTTGGAGTTTTCTTAAGTTCTTTGAAGTTCTCACTAAGTTCCTTGAGCATCCTTATAGCCAGTGTTTTGAACTTCCCATATGATTGATTGCTTATTAGCATTTTGTTTAGTTCTTTTCTTGGAGTTTTATTCTGTTCTTTCATTTGGGACATGTTTCTTTGTCTCCTCATTTTGGCTGCTTCCCTGTGTTTGTTTCTATGTATTAGATAGAGTTGCTACATCTCCTAGGCTTCATGCACTTCTCATGTGGACTGTATACCCTCTAGTTGTAATTGAGTCTTGATTACTGTTGGCTCCTCAATGGGAGGGATTTACTCAGGCTGATCAGCTGCAAGGACTGGCTGTGCTCACTGACCACTGACCTTTGACTCGCTTGGAGGATCAGCTGTGTAGGGCCCCACCATATAGAGCAAGACTTACTTTATCAGGGCTCTGATACCCATTGAGTCCACTCATTGAGTGTCACTTGTGGAGGTGGTTGGGTGGTGGTGCTTCAGTGTGGTCGGAAGCTGTTCACTGGGTGTGCTGGCTCTGGGGCAAGGTCAGCTCCTGCCTGAGTTGTACCCAGGGCCACCCGGCATAAGCTACAAAGTGATCTGCTGATGGCTGGGTCTTGTGCTGGGCTTGGAGGTGCCCAGGAAAAGCCAAATTGTGAACCAAGGCTGGCTGCTTCCAGTGCAGGGCCTGGGGCCATTTAACGAGAGGTGTGGGGCTCCCTGAGACCAGATGCTGCTTGTTTGAGAGATTTTAGGAAACTCTGAAGCAGGATCAAAGACAGGCCAATCCTATGGTGAAGCCATTGGAAACAGGTTGGGTGGGCCTGAAAGTTGGGTGGGGCAGGGTCTCAGGGAATCCTCAGGGCAGGGGGGGCCAGGTGGCTGGAGTCCCAGATATAGTGGCCGTCTGCTGCCCCAGGGAAGGGCTCACCAAAGGAATAATGGCCTCTGACAGCAAGTCTGTCAGGAGAAAGCTGCCCCTCCAGCTCTCACCCCAATGACAAACAGCCCAGTTCTTCCCCGTATGTCTCTGGTGCCTTTCAAACCGCCTCCCCAGTGCTGGAGCCCAGAAGGAGTGAGTCCGAGTAAGTCCAGCAGCCTGGGGCTCCAGGGTCTCAGCCTCCCTGAGCCTCAGTTCCCACTGGTTTTTCCAGCCAGAAGTTATGGGAACTTCCCTTCCTAGCACTGGAACCCTGAGCTGGGAGTCCGGTATGGGACGGGGACCCCTCAGTCCTCAGGGAGGACCTTCCCAGCTGAGGTGTCCTCCTGATTTTTATCCGCCACGCGTGGGTGTGGGACCAGCCTGTCCGCCTCTGCCCCTCCTACCAGTCTTTTTTTTTTTTATTCTCACCTGAGGACATTTTTCTATTTTTTGTTCAGGTAGAGTGGGAAGGGGAGAGAGGAAGAGAGAGAAACATCGATGTGAAAGGGACACATCGAGTGGCTGCCACCCGCACGACCAACCAGGGCCGGGGACAAACTGCAACCGAGGTACGTGCCCTTAGCGGGAACCGAACCCGGGTCTCTCTGGACCACAGGCCGACGCTCTGACCGCTAAGCCAGACCGGCCCGGGCAGGATGGAGTCGTTTTAGAAGTCTTCCTTGGGACTGACTGAGTGAGTAAGGCTCCAGGTGGAGGGTGGTTACTGTTAATTCATTCATCAAATGTTACCCCAGTGCCTGCTGGGTGCCAGGCAGTACCGAAAACTGAAGATTCAGTGGTGAATATAGTACACTACACTGATTCCTGGGGAGCCACGGTGGGGAGAAAATGTAGGACAGGCACCCTGGCTCCCTTCCTCTCCTGGATGGCTGAGCTCTCTTGAGTAACCCTGGCTAAAACTCCCTCCAGGGGCCCAGGAGAAGCCAAGACATTGTCAGGGAGATGGAGAAACCATTTCTTCACCTTGCATACGAGGTACATCTTGCCCACTGACCAGCAAGCCCTTGACGTAACATCGGAGCTGAGGCAAGCCACAGCCCACACCCTGGCGGGTGGCCAGTGATGGGGCAAGTGAGAAAGGCTCCTGGTCAGCCCTTTGCAACAAGCCCAACCTGGCATAAAAAAGGGTCCTGCATGCTGGGAGGAGGCAGACTTGGGCACCATGAAGACTCAGAGGAACAGCCTCTCCTGGGGGTGCTGGTCACTGTTGCTACTGGTGGTGGGCCTGGCAATGCCTCCAGCCACTGGCCAGGCCCTCAGCTATCAGCAGGCCGTGCTCCTTGCTGTGCAGGGCTTCAACCAGCGCTCCTCCGAAGCTAATCTCTACCGCCTCCTGGAGCTGGGCGCCAAGCCCGAGGGGGTGAGTTGGGGAGGGGATGCCGGCTAGTGAGGTTCTGCTCCCCCCACGCTTGGCCACACTGCCACTTCCTTTGCTTCTGCGGGACCTCCTGTCAGGAAGGCACTTCTCCCTTTAAGTGGGGTTCCACCTCTTCCAGGAAAACTTCCTAGAGCTGTGTCCCTTCCCAGATGAGTTTCCCGCCTTAGAATCTCTACTGTGCAGAGGTGCCCCCCCTCCGTTCAGGCTTCAGGGACTTCTGGGAGTTCTAGGGACAAGAATGGGGTCTTTGGGTCTGGGACGTGACTTCCCACATCCAGACAAAGGCTCTGCTCAGCCTCCAGGTTTCTGAGGCAATGTTTTTCCTCAGGGGCCCCTGCTCGCCCTCGGTCCCCTTAGTTCCTCTGAGGTCTGCTCTGCTCTCTGTGTACTTGGTGTGGGCAGGAATGGGCTGTGCCCTGCTCGCCTCTGTGCCCCGGCACCAAACCCAGTGACAGGGACAAAGCAGGGGCTGTTGAAAGGCTGTTGTTTTGGGGGTGGTGGTGAAGGGATACAGATCAGAGAAAGCAAGCAGAGGCCCAATGCTGGTCTCCCCACTTTCTCTCCTGGCCAGGATGAGAACCCAAACACCCCAAAGCCTGTGAGCTTCACAGTGAAGGAGACTGTGTGCCCTCGGACGACGCGGCAGCCACCTGAGGAGTGTGACTTCAAGGAGAATGGGGTGAGGCTGGGGCTAGGGGTGCCTCCCAAGATGCTGAACAGGAAGCCTCAGGGGAACAGTTCCAGAGCCTGGGGTGAGGCTGGAAGGTTATGGAACAAAGGTTCCAGCTTAGCCATGAACTTTTCCCTTCTAGCTGATAAAAGAGTGTATAGGGACAGTCGATCTGGACCCGGCCAAAGGCTACTTTGACATCACCTGTGACCAGGTAAGTGGCCCCTTCCTAGATGTAGGGGCCGAGAAAGCCTCACTACCCTGGGCTTCTCCCTCAGCCCGAGCCCTGGCTCTGCAACCCCTCAGAGCAGTGGGCTCCATGTATGGTCCTCACCTGGGAGCTTGTTAGAAATGCAAATTCTCAGGCCCCACTCAGACCTGCTGACTCAGGCTCTGGGTGAGGCCAGCAATCTGTATTTAACAAGCTTTCCAGAAGATTCCTGCTAAAGTTTGAGAGCCTCTGATCTAGAATAAGCAGCTTTCAGTTCATGCTCTGTCTTAGCTTTGCTGGGATTGGCTATGTGACCTTGGGAAGCCACTATCATCTCTGGGCCTCAGTTTCCTCATCCGTTTATAGGTGTAGGGATTCAACCATATGCCCCAAAGGTCACAGCCAGAGGGTGAACTGGGGCCTCAAGGCTCCTAGGGTGGGCCAGGAAGGGGGTGTCTAGAGGGGTCTAGACCCTGGTGCAGCCCCACAAGCAGCCTGTTTCCTCCTGGTGCACAGCTCAAGGATGTCTCACTGGGCGGTTTGCTCAAGAAAGGTGGACAGATTATCGGTAAAAAAATTGAGAAAATCGGCAAGAGAATCAAGGACTTTTTTACGAATACTGAGTCCATGGAAGAGGCCAAAAGTGTCTAATTTGCTCCAGCTCTGGCTTCTGGACTCTGAAAAATAAAGTCTTGTGAAAGCAAGTTTCTCCAGGCTTCAATTTCACTTGTTTTCCTTCTCCCACTCACCACAACAAAGTCTGGGAGGCCCTGCGTGTGCGCACCACACACACATTGCGGGCGAAACCCAGGGATGCGTGGGGACAGCTGTTCCGTCCAGGAGGGCATGGGGCGAGGCAGGGCCAAGAGGCCCAGGGCAGTCTCCAACCTCAGGGTCCATCCCGTGCCTTCACATACCTCCTGCCCTCCTCCTTGAATACCCAGTAGGGGCTTAAGGAGATCTACTGTGTGTGCAGGGCAGTGGGGCTGTGCTGAGCTCTTCCTGCTCACACTGAGGTGACAGTGGAGAGACGCACCAGGCATTTTTTTTTTTTATTCCTCACCCGAGGATATTTTTCACTTATTATCAGATAGAGTGGGAGGGAGGGAGAGAGAGAGAGAGACAGACAGAAACATTGATGTGATAGAGCCACACCAACTGGTTACCTCCTGCATGACCCATCCAGGGCAGGGACGAACCACAACCGAGGTACATGCCCTTGACTAGAATCGAACCCGCGACTCATTGGTCCGCGGGCTGACACTCTAACCACTGAGCCAAACTGGCCAGGGCCAGGCATTTTGTTAAACACTCAGAGACGCTGTTCAGTCTCATGGCTGGCTGGGTTTTAAGGTCAGCAGGGTTCTAATGCCCATACAGTTTCAACTGCCCTTTAACTTTGCAAAACCCCCCATACCTCTGGCTTTTCCTCTGGCACTGTTTCTTCAGCTGGTACAACATTTTGTACCATTAAAAATAAGAATCCTGCCCTGGCCGGTTTGGCTCAGCAGTAGAGCATTGGCCCGTGGAACAATGAGTCCTGGGTTTGATTCTGGTGAAGAGCATGTACCTTAGTTGTGGTTTGTCCCTGGCCCCTGGTTGGGGGCATGTGGCATGCGGGAGGCAACCAGTTGATGTTTCTCTCTCTCTCTCTCTCTCTCTCTTCTCTTCTCTTTTCTCTCTCCCTTCCTCCCACTCTATCTGATAATAAATGGAAAACTATCCTTGGGTGAGAATAAAAAAAAAACAAGAATCCTAAAAGAAAAAAAAAAAAGAATCCTAAAAGCAGTGGTACATATACACAATAGAGTACTATGCAGCTGTAAGAAAGAAAGATCTCTTATCCTTTGAGACCACATGGAGGGACCTGGAGAGTATTATGCTAAGCGAAATAAGCCAGTTAGAGAAAGACAAATATCACATGGTCGCACTTATTTGTGGAATATAATGAACAAAATAAGCTGATAAACAAAATAGACCCAGAGATACAGAAGTAGGGTTCAGACTGGCAAACCTTAGAAGAGGGGGCAGGGGAGAGGGAAGAGATAAACCAAAGAACTTATATGCATATAAGCATAACCAATGGATATAGACAACAATGCTGTGGGGGTGGGGGAGGTTGGGAGGAGGGTATCAATGGGGAGGAAAGGAGAAACATCTGTAACGAAATTAATTAATTTAAATTTAAAAAGAAAACCAAAAACCAACAATCCTGCCCAGCCAGTGTGGCTCAGTGGTTGAGCACTGACCCATGCACCAAGAGGTTGCTGGTTCGATTCCCAGTCAGGGCCCATGCCCAGGTTGTGGGCCCAATCCCCAGTGTGGGGTGTGCAAGAGGCAGCCAATTGATGTTCTCTCTCATCGATGCTTCTATCTCTCTCTTTCTTCCTCGCTCTCTAAAACCAATAAAGAAAAAAAATTAAAGAAAAATATTTTAAAAAATATATTAAAAAAAAAAAAAGAGTCCTGCCCTGGACAGTTGGCTCAGTTGGTTAGAGCATCATCCCAATATGCCTAGGTTGTGGGTTTAATCCCTAGTCAGGGCTCATAGAGGAGTCAACCATTGAAGGCATAAGTGAAACAATAAATCGATGTTTCTCTCTCTCTCTAAAATCAATAAATTCAAACAAACAAAAAAACATACAAAGCCCTGCCTGGGTGGCTCAGTTCATTGGAGCATCATCTGATACACCAAAAGGTTTCAGGTTAGTTTCCCAGTCAGGGCACATACCTAGGTCACAGTATTGATCCCCAGTCAGGGTGCATTTGGGAGGCAACTGATCAGTGTTTCTCTCCTTTCCTATCTTTCTTTTTAAAAAATTATTTATTTATTTATTTGAGATAGAGAGAGAGGGAGAGAGAGAGAGAGAAAGAGAGAGAGAGAAAGATCGATCAGCTTGTTGTTCCACTTATTTATGCATTAATTGGTTGATATTGGTTGATTCTTGTATGTGCCCTGACTGGGGATTGAACCCGAAACCTTGGCTTATTGGGATGACGTTGTAACCAACTGAACCACCTAGCCAGGGCCTTTGCTCTCTCTCTAAAATCAATAAAAACAGCCCTGGAGTGTCATTCAATATACCAAAAGGTTTCAGGTTCGATCTCGGTTGGGGTGTATATGGGAGGCAACTGATTGATGTTTTTTTTTTTCTCTCTCTCTCTCCCTCTCTCTTTGTTTCTCTATAAAAATCAATAAAAACATATCCTTGAGTGAAGAGTTAAAAAAACAACAACAAAAAGATCCCTGGCTGGTTTGGCTCAGCAGTTTGAGCGTCGGCCCACAGACCAAAGAGTCTTGAGTTCGATGCTGGTCAACTCACGTACCTCAGTTGCAGTTCAGTCCCAGGCCCTAGTCAGGGTGGTGCTGGCGGCAACCAATTGATGTGTCTCTCTCACATCAATATTGTTCTCTTTCTCTCCTCCTCCCACTCTGTCTGAAGATAAATGGAAAAATATCCTCAGGTGAGGATTCAAAACAAAACAAAAACAAAAACACACACAAGAATCCTGGCATCTCTCTCCTGGAGCATGCCCTTCCCCACCCTCTTGGACCCCTCCATGATAAGGCATTACAGAAACAGGACCTGGCAAAATGTGTGCTTCCTGTGCCTAGGGGGCCCTTCTGCTAGAATTCCTTATTGCATGTGTGTGTGTGTGTGTGTGTGTGTGTGTGTGTGTGTTGGGGGAGGGGTGGGGGAAATGAAGGAGTACAAGGGGAGATCCTTCTCCAAAGAGCATCACAGAAAACATCCACTAAATTGCTATGACAAACTGGGCCATTTGGAATTTCTCATGATGGGGAACCACCAGGAAAAGAAAAGAGCTATCACACTTATATAGGTAATTGTCCCTGACTATCATGAGTTGCTGACATTGCTCCCCGAGGAGACTCCATTTAAACCCAGAGATTCTGTGATGTGCTTCCACACCAAGGGGTAGCCATCAAGTGCACTCGCAGCAATCAGCTCCTTACCAGGGTGAAACACCTAAGGGATCAGAGCACTTAGAGATAAAAGTCTGCATTTCCCCAGTAGGTAAGCATCTTAGAACTGTACGTGCTCGTTCTGGGGGAAGCAATTATAATATGGTTGGTAAAGGATGGAGATAAGACTCAATTATGGCCTCAGGTCTAGTTGTGGTAGAATGAAATTTTTCCCCACAAATGCGCTTGTATGGAGTCTTAAATAGAGACTGTAGCTGAGCCAGATTGCCTGGCTCTGTGATGTGCTGAGCTCCCTGTAGAGCAGGTGCACACCCAAGCATGACCAGGGGAGGGCAGCCTTGGACAACTTTTATACTCCTCTCGTATCCTCTTGGCCACATTCTTACCCTGACTGTTGTTGCACTGGGTGAAATCAGAGAGCTCCTCACTCCATTTCTCCGGGCTCTTCCCAGGAGATTCTCGGCTGATGTGCAGGAAGCCTTTCTGGCAATATGCAAATCTGGACCTGCAAAGGAGGTCAATCTCCCTGGCGAATGCTAGACAATGGATGACGGAACCTAGAAGGCAGATACCCAGTCTCCTGGCCTCTGTTGGGAGGCAGAGGACCGCCAGCTAGATTGGGGCCAGTTGTCCACAGTGCTGACCAGCTCAATAGCCCATTCTTGGGTTGGCTTTCTCTTCCCTGTTTATTCTCCCAGTCCCTCCACTCCTGTTTTCTGAAATCCTAGTCCCTCCTGCCTCTCAGAAATTTTATATTAGCGATTATAAATTATATGTATTGTAAACCAATCCCTCTCTACTGACTCAGACACAAAATGTCACATATTGTATGATTCCTTTTATATGTTACATCCAGAATAGACAAATCCTTAGAAACAGAAAATAGATTAGTGTTTAACAGGGGATGGAGGGAGTGAGGAGTGGAGAGATTTTTCTAGGGTTGATGAAAAGTTTTGAAATTACAGAGTAGTGGTGGTCATACAACATTGTGAATGCCCTAAATGTCACTGAGTGGTACTTTATTTTTTCTTACTCCCCACCGGAGGATACTTTTCCATTTATTTTCATACAGAGTGGGAGGGAGGAAGGGAGAGAGAGAGAGAGGAACATTGATGAGAGAGAGACACATTGATTGGCTGCCTCCCACACAACTCCAACCACAACAGATCGAATGAAACCAAGGTACGTAACCTTGACTGGAATTGAAGCCCTAACTCTTTGGTCCATGGGCCAACGCTCTAACCGCTGAGCCAAACTGGCCAGGGCTGAATGGTACTTTATAATGATTGATTGTATGGTCTGTAAATCTCACCTCATTTTTAAAAAAGGAATTTAAAATATAGAAAAGGAAAATAAGGAATACAATAAAAATTTACTAGTACTGATAAACAAGTTCAGAAAGGTCTCACAATACATGTATCAGTATGCCATTTTTTTTATCCTCACTCAAGGACATTTTTGCATTTATCTTCAGATAGAGCAGGAGGGAGACAGAGAAACATCGATGTGAGAGAGACACGTTCAGTGGCTGCCACCCACACGACCCCAACCGGGGCCGGGGACAAACTGCAACCTAGGCATGTGCCCTTAGCTGGAATCAAACCCGGGACTCCCTGGTCCGCAGGCCGACAATCTAACCGCTGAGCCAAACTGGCCAGGGCAGTACTTCATTTTTAAAAAAATATTTTTATTGAATTTGAGAGAGGAAGGGAGAGGGAGAGAAAGAAATATGGATATGAAAGCATAACATCACTCAGCTGCCTCTTGCATGCTCAAGATCTAAATAATGTCCAAGGTCCAGGTCTAAGTGTAGAGGATTGAGCCCGCAACCCGGGCATGTGCCCTGACTGGGAATCAAACTGGTGACCTCTTGGTCCATGGGTTGACACAACCACTGAGCTACACCAGCTGGGCTCCAACTTTTTTTTTCTTCTCAATATTGTTTTGGCTATTTAAGGTCCCTTGTATTTTCATATGAATTTGAAGATTCGCTTTTCTGTTTCTACAATAAAGACCATGGACCTGGACTTTGAACCTGTGACTTAGACATGGATTTAAGCTAGACTTTGGACACAGATCAGGAGCCAACTTTGGAACTGTGTCTTGGATCTGGACCTTTAATCTCACATGTGTACCTAGACCTGACCTTGGTTATAGATATTGAATCAGGACCTCAGGTCTGCACATGTATATTGGACATGCACCTTGGACCTGAATTTGTCTAGTTCCTTAGAAATTATCTTAAGCTAGAAATTGGAAATGGATGTGAACCTTTTACTTAGACCTTGGAATTTGTCCTAGACTTAGACCTGGACCTTGGACATGTATTTAGATCTTGGACTCCAACCTTAGAATTCAATCTTTGACCTGTATTTGTCTAGAATCTTGGACCTGAGCTTCTATCTGGACCTTGGACTTTGATCAGGATCTTGGGTGTTATATTAGTTTGCTATGGCTCCTGTAACAAATACCATAAACTAGTGGCTTAAACAACGGAGAGTATGTCCTACAGTTCTGAATGCTAGGAGTCCAAGATCGAGGTATTGGCAGGGTTGATTCCTCCCGAGGGCTGTGAGCGAGAAATGTATTCTGTACCTCTCTTCTGAACCAGACTTTAGACCTAGATTTTGACCTTCAGCAGAGTACCTGAAACTTTGATTGGGAGACTGAACCTGGATTTTGTACCTAGACTTGGTCCTTGGACCCAGTACCCAGACTTTGACCTGGACCTGGTTCTAAACATTGGACCTTGACCTTGGACCTAAATTTGGCATTAACATTACATTTGACATTAGGCCTGATCTTTGGATCTGGAGCAGGTTTTTGGAACTGTACCTGAGAATATAGACCTTTATTTTGAGCTGCCTTGACAATTAGACATATACCTTGCTCCTCAACTTTGGATGTGGGCCTAGACCTGACCATGTTGTGGGCACTGGATCTATACTTTGAAAATAGACCTAGACTGTGGACCTAAACTTGCAATTAGCCTTTGGAAGTGACTTTGGGCCTGATTTCTGAACCTTGAATTTGTATTTCAAAGCTTGATCTCTGATCCTGATTTAGCACTTAAATCATCCTTCAACCTGGTCCTTGGCCTTGGACATTGACATGATCTTTGGACTTGGACCTTGAAACTAGACATCAGATCTCAATGATGTACTTGGATGGTCCTTGATCTTGGACCTGACCTTAGATATGGTTTTTGCTTATAAATCTGAATTTGGATCTTAAACTTGAATATGGATCTTGAACCTGAACTTCTAAGAGGACTTGGACTTCATACCTGGACGTGGATCTGGACCTAATGCCTAGATTTCAGACCTGGATGTGGACATGAACTTGTCCTACTTTGACCTACTCCTAGACACTGAACCTGAAACTTAGACATGGATTTGACCTGCAACTATTTTTATGATTTATAAAAGAAGTGAATCATAAAAACATGCCTTTATTGGGCAGACACACCTTTGCTCAAATAAAAGTGGCCCCTTCCTCTAGGACGCAGCCCTATACCAGTGCACAGCACGGATTTGAGCCCACACTCAGCTCTGTCGCTGGGTGCCTTCCCGCACAACATAAGCTGTGCACTGTGTGTGTGTGAACCTCCCCGGAGATTCCTACACAATTCTTCCTCCACGTAGCACAGGGAGACACTCGGCTTCAGGACAGGTTTAATCGCTCCAGTTAAGGATGGAGAGAAGGCACTAGAGCAGTGCTCCCAGCCTTGAGGAGTCAGTAGAATACTGACTTGTATTGAGGAAGACAGGCCAAATGTTTCTTATACAGAGTTTCTGCAGAGTCAATTAGGCAAGTTCCCTTTGAAAAGGAATGAACAGTTTTCAGAAAAAAAGAGGAACCATCATTCCTCTGAACTACCCATGAACATTCCAGCAAAGAGGTAGATAGAGAGTTAGATTCTCAAGGCGGTGGCAGTGAGGAGCTAGGCTCTCGGGCAGGTGGCGGCACCTAGCAGAGATGGCGCATGAGCCCCAGGACTCCCTGGTCCTGGGAAATGCTCTGGACAGGACGGCTAAGTAAGACAAAGGCTTGCCAATGTCACCAGTCTTCACAGACTGACGGGCCTGCAGCAGGCTGGCCCTGGCCTCCTGCGCTGGCCGCACAGTGGATGCCTCACTCCGGACGGCAGCGCACAGGGCCACAGCGCAGCTGGGGCTCCTCTTCCTCATACCAGCGCTGTTCACTGAAGTCTGGGAAGAAGGCTGCAATCTCTCTACTGGCTGAAGCCGCAGAGTCTGTAAGAGGAGTTAAGAAAGAGAAGGGATTCTATTAGGGAGTGCAGAATGGAGGCAAGAGGCAGTTATAATCAGGTTCAGAAACCTGAACCTCTACTTCTCCTGCCTGCTCCTCGATCCTGGGGCCACATCTGCTAAGTTGGCCGCAAAGGGCCAGACATGCAGTAAGGAAAAAAGCTCACTGGAAGGACCTGACTCTCAACACCACCGTACAGCCTGCCCACCAACCCCAAACCATCCTCCCTTATTTGTGACTATGGACCTGAGAGGCAGACCTACCAGAGCCATGGGTGGTGTTGCGGGTGTCGGTGAGGCCAAAACTCCCACGAATTGAATCTGGGGCCACGTGGCGTGCTCGAAACACTTTGGTGGGTCCCATCAGCGTCCTCCAGAACTGGATGGCATCCTTGTGGGCGAGGATGTAGGCTCGGATTGGCCCACTGCGAACAAAAGGAGCACGTGTCAGGAACCTGGCCGTCGGGTCTAGGACGGCACGCCATGAGCATGTCACAGATAAAGGCACACTGTACATCCTGGGAGTTTCCTTGCCTTCCTAGCTGAGTACCAATGTTGCTTCTAACAGGTGATGGAGGACTACTGCTGATGTCCAAGAAAGCCACAGATATCAGCAGAGTTGCTAGGCAGCATATAACAATACGCTTCTACAGCCCCTGGATCCGTAGCCACCACGGGGCAGGTGGCCACCAGGTGAGTGTCGACTCAGTCAGAGCCCCAAGTCCATGTTTCTTCAGACACTGAACCCTCATTACAACTTTAAAGAGTGGCAAATAAACTTAACACATCTAGTTAGGGCGCAGGGGGGATATGTCTCAGTAGATAAAGACGATGGAACCCAAACTGGAAGTACCTGGTCATGAACTCCACCAGCCGCTGATAGAAAAAACGCCCTGCAAAAAGAGAGTACCTTTGTTAGGACACTCGTGCCCAGGAGAACCTTTTGCACTTCTGTCTCCTAACTTGGAATAATAAAAACTGCTTTAGAACAAAGAACAGTGACCTTGGAGTCTGACACAACCTGGGCAATTTTGGCTGAGTCATTAACTTCCCTAGTTCAGTTTCCTAATCTGTACACTAGGAACATAACAGTACTTACCGCATAGGGCTGTTGGGAGAATTATATGAAATTGCGACCATTAGGCAGTGTCTGACAGAGTCAACATTCACTCCAGTTAACTCCTGATATTATCAGGATATAAAACCAAGTTGCTGGTTGGGACGGTGAAGTAAAACCTTCCTAGACAATATCAAACAGTTTTACAGTTGGCAGCAGAGAACCTGCCGGACATGTCCAGGTAAAATCTCTTTCACACACTTCTTACGATAGCGAAGCCTGCCGTTCAGAAGGCTGATGGTCCTACCTTCATGCTCTTGGTAAAACCTCTGGCAATCTTCTCTTCTCCACACAAGTTCTCTCATTCGTACAATAAGGAACTTGTTGCTCAGAATCTGCTGATGAACAGCCTGGATAAGCAAAGACAAAATCAGTTGAAAGGCCTGTTTGAGTGAAAAGCAGACTCAGGCTGACCAAAAGAACCATGAGGACCCCTTCGAGACCAGGACATCAGAGTCTGTCCATTGGTGGGTGAGAACAGAAGAAGGTGGGGTATGGTACAGTCACATAACCAGAATGTGAGCCTTGGGTGGAGGGGAGCAAAAAGTCCTGTCTGCCCCTCCGTTCCTATAGTTCCTTGAGCGCAAGGCCACAGGACCCACCACTCAGACCATCATAAAAGTCTCTCGATAGTGGTCCTGCCTTAAATCGCTCCCACTCTCTATCCCATCACACTTGGTAAGTCAAAACATCACAATCTAGGTCACACTCTGGTGAGAAGCTTTTGAATGGTTCCTATTATTCATGGAATGAAGAGCAACCGCTTCAGTCCAGTGCTCAGGGAGTCCAAGGCTGCACTTGCTGGCCCTCCAACACTTCCAATTCCCTAGTCCCACCAACTCAGCCCACCTGCGGCCCTTAGACCCACCATTCCTGCCTCAGCATCTCCCTTCTGTGGAACACTTGCCCTCCTCCTGGGCACTAACCACAGGCCTTCCTTCCTTTGAGGCCTGGCCTAGTCCCAAACTGCAGACCACCTGAGGGCTCTGATCTTCCTTTGCACCACAGTGAGCTCACTTAGCAGTGCTGTTCAGCTACAACTTCTCAAAATATTGTAAGCAAAATGCTAACATGACCTTCACTTAGCCCCACCAAGTTTCCTTCCGGAAATCTCCAGGACTGTGAATAGCATGCAAAATGATTATGTTACATGATGTGACAGAAGGAATTTTGCAGGTGTAATTAAGGTTACTATCAGTTGACTTTGCTTTAATCAAAAGGGAGATTATCCAGATGGGCCTAATTAATCACATGAGCTCTTTAACAACAGAGTTGTATCTGGCTGGGAGCTAAAGAAGTCAGAGATTCGAAGCATTTGATGTACTACTGTTGTCTTGAACACAGGGTGGGCTATCTGATGAGGACTGTGAGTGGCCTCTAGAGACTGAGAGCAGTCCCTGCCTAAAGGGAAGGACATGGGGACCTCAGTCCTATAACAACAGGAACTGAATTCTGCCAACAACCTGAACACATTTGGGAGTGGATTCCTCCCCAGACCCTCCAGATGAGGGCCCAGTCAGCTGATACTTTGACTCTGGCCTTGTGAGACCATAAGGAAAAAACACAGCCGAGCTTCCTGTACCTAATTCTAGAATCATGTAATAATAAATAAGTATTGTTTTAAGCTACTAAGTTTGTGATAATTTTTATGTAGCAATAGAAAAGTAATATGATACATACACTATCTTGAGGTTTGTTCCTTGTGTTATTGTATTGGATTCTTTCTTATATTTTATATCTGCCCCAATCCTCCAATACAGATTTAATTTTCTTAGGGTCTGAGTTCATGGCTCCTAGTTTTGCCTCCATGGTATCTAGCACAGGACTGTGTTGTCAGTCTTCACAAGTGGCCCTATGGCACCTGAAAAAGAAGTAATGCCCAGGGCATATAGTAGAGGTTTAGGATTCATTCTTACCTCCAGAATCAGTGGGTGAGCGACAGCATCAGGCTTGATCAGGGCCAGAGTAAGCTGGAGAGCCTGAGGGCTTCGCAAGAAGGAGGTCATCTCACTCCTGCCATCAGAGCTGGGTTAGGGACCCATCAGAGCTGCACTCCCCACCCTTCCTACTCTGGAGCCACCGGCTTTGCAAGCTAACCAGTACTCTCACTCCTGGCACTCATAAAGCACATGACAGTTACACAGGAAGACTGTATACAGTACATTGTTACTGCATACATGTGTATAGCGTTTTATTTAATGGCCCATTTGTGCTCATGGGATTGAGGGAAGGGAGTGGTAGAGGGGGAACTCAGGTTGCCCAAAGGAGTTACCCATTCAAAAGAAATTCAAATTTAAACACTACCTGTCTCTCCCAATATTCCCTTCCCTTCCTAACTGTCCTTTGTGTTTTACAGAGTATTTACAACTTATACTTCTCAACAGCAGGGCCACAAGTGTATAATAAATGTTTCCACTCCAAAGGCACTCTATCTTATAGTGCTCTGCTATCAATTCTAGTACTGGAAGACTGGATGGACAAAAACTGGCATGTTGGCAAGATACCAAAAAGTCTGCTGGATACATACCATCTCTTATTTATTCTTACAGACAGGTCAGGATCTTTCCTGCCTAAATCAAACCCTTTAATACATTCAGCTGTCCTCAATGGCAAGACTTATAGACATGCAACTCCAAGTTCAGGGACTAGTTGTAAACATGTTGTATCTGAAGCAGCTGAAACAGTACCTGGCACAAAGGTACTTGATCAATTTTATTGACTAAATAAACCTATATAGTCTCATTCTATTCATATTTGAATTTCTAGTGTCTAACATGCTGTACAAGCTCAATAAATAATTGTGGAAATGATGAAGAACATAAAAGTATTTTATACTCTGGACTAAGAGAATTTTTTTTTTTATCCTCACCCGAGGACATTTTTCCTTTTTTTGTTGTTGTTGTTGTGTTCAGATAGAGCAGGAGGGAGAGAGAGGAAGAGAGACAGAGAGAAACATCGATGTGAAGGGACACATCGAGTGGCTGCCACCCGCACGACCAACCAGGGCCGGGGACAAACTGCAACCAAGGTATGCGCCCTTAGCAGGAATCGAACCCGGGTCTCTCTGTACCGCAGGCCGACGCTCCAACCGCTGAGCCAAACCGGCCAGGGCTGGACTAAGAGAATTTGAGGTCTCTTCCAACTGTGAAATTCTATTTACATGTAGAAATTGATCATGTCCACAGGACTAAGGACTAGGTCTCAAAAGATTATCTGGTAGAACCCCTAAATTTGCCAACAGATAGAGAAAGCTTCCATGAACACACACATGGGCAGACTGGCCAACACTCTCATTTCTCTTAGCCCAAGAGTAGCCTAATAATCAAATTAAAGGTGGTGGTAGGGTCTGGCTCAAATGGAAAAAACTATGCCAAGTTCTCTTGTACTCATGTCTTTTCTATAGCTTTCAGCTTGATGCTCCACTCGAACCACAAAGCTAAGCCCAGTCTAACCAGTACAAGATCAGCCAACCCACTCTCCCTAGTATCTCAGGTGGCGAGTAACCCAAAGCAAGCAGAATCTTCGCCATGTATCTAGGGAGAGACGTCCTTGACACCTCACTTCCCCACCTTCCACATCCACACTATCACTAAATTCTGGCAATTTTACCTAACCCATATATCTCAGATCCATGCAGTTCTCTCCCTTCAAGTACCATCACCTGAGTCTAAGACTTTATCCTTCCTCCCTAGACTTCTGCAACAGTCTCCTCAATGGTCTCCCAGTTTCTACTCTTGCCATCCCAATGGGTCTGTTCTCCACACAGCAGCCAGAGAATAAAATGCAAACCCACATGTCATTCCCTCCTTAACCCTTTATTTATTATTATTTTTTATCCTCACCCGAGGACATTTCTTCATTTATCTTGAGATAGAGCAGGAGGGAAAGAGGGAGGAAGAGAGAGAGAAACATCGATGTGAGAGACACACCCAGTGGTCGCCACCCACAGGACCCCAACCAGGCAGGGACAAACTGCAACCGAGGGCACCGAACCCGGACCTCTTTGGTCCGCGGGCCCGATGCTCTAACTGATGAGCCAAATCAGCCATGGCCCCTCCTTAACCCTTTAAAGTATACCATGCTTTCATAATAAAACCCCAAATCCTTATTGTGGCCTACTAGGCTTTGCATGATCTCATCCCTGCGTACCTCTCTAGCTTCATCTGGAACCTCACACTCCTGAACTTTCTCTTGCTCCAGCCTCATGGGCCTTACAGCCTCAGGACTTTCTGGACAACCTTTGTGTGAGGTTTTCACAGCCAGAATGTGCTTTCTTTGGTTTCCTCCTACTCACCTATTAGATCTTAGCTCACTTCTCCTGCAATACTTTCTCAGAGCTCCCTGCAGGGTTTTCTTCAGTTATGTCTTCCCCACTAAAAAATCAGCTCCATGAAAGCAGGGGTGTGTTTTGCTCACCATGGTCTCCTCAGTACCTATGCAGAGTGCCTAGCACATAGCTCGCTCTCGATAATATATATATATATTTTTTATCCTCACCTGAGGACATTTTTCCATTTTTTGTTCAGACAGAGTGGAAGGGAGAGAGAGGAAGAAAGAGAGAGAAACAGTGATGTGAAAGGGACACATGGAGTGGCTGCCACCCGCACGACCAACCAGGGCCGGGGACAAACTGCAACCGAGGTACGCCCTTAGCGGGAACCGAACCCGGGTCTCTCTGTACCGCAGGCTGACGCTCTAACCGGTGAGACAAACCGGCCAGGGCTCTCAATAATATTTTTGAACGAATTAATCAATGAACCTGGTCCAGCTCTTCCAAAGCCAGGCTGCTACTGGTCTCCAGGGGAAGACGTGGTTCCTTTCCTAACGTGAGCTATGGCTGTCTTGTTCTTAGTTTACAACAAATGATGACAGGTCGAGAAATTTGATCAACTTAAAGGTCCCTCCGTTAGAGAATTACAAATTTTAGAAGCTGCCTGGGCATTTGCCCCCACACCTGAGGTACCTATGCCTCCGCTTCCATAGAGCAGAAACCAAGCGGCTCGTCCTCGCAGGCCCAAACCCTCAACTCCGCCTCCAGCCCTCTACACCTGAGGCCCCGCCCCCCAGCCCCCAGTCTCACGCTCTCAGCTCTGGACATCGTCCCCTCCCCTTCTCCCCTCCATTTCTCCAGGCCTGCAGCCACGCGACCCCTGCCCCTTGTACCCGGGGACTAAGTCCACCCCAGATTCTGGGCTTTTCGGAGCCTCAGTCCAGCTGGAGTCCAGGTCCGGATCCACCTAATCCTCCAGCCACTTTGCGTGGCCAACAGGCGCCGTGCTAGCTAGCCTGTGAGCCCAAGTGGGGTCCTTCAGGCGTTCGGCGGGCAGCCCCCTGGGGTCCTGGCCGTGAGGCCGTGAGGCCGTGGGCCGAGCCGGAAGCGGAGAGGGGCGGTGCATGAGCCCTGGGAGTGCGACTGCGCTGTGGTATCCACCAGGGCTCGAGGCGGGGACAGGTTGCAGCGGGAAGGTCGGCGGCTGGTGGCTCGTTTCTCTCTCCAGCACTCGTCCCTTGGGCGCGGTCATGCGGGAGGGAGTGTGAGCTTAGAGGACGTAGATCAGGGTGGGCGGTCCAGAGTGGCAGCCTGGCAGAGGCAGTCCTCCCCTGCGGGGCCACCGGCTGGCACCTTGCCCGACTCATATTCTTTGCCTCACTTAGGGTTGGTGCCCAGTGCTTGTCGCAGGGACGCGGAGGGCAAGGAACTTGTGCACTCTCGCGTGGGCCGAGGCAGGCAGCCTTCTGGGCGCGGAGCGGTGACAGACACGAAGGAGCACAGCTAATACGGGGGTTGGTGAGGCAGGGTTCTTGGCTGGAGGCCAAGTGTACATAGGACGCCAGGGAAACTAGTCATAAGGGTCTTGGACTTGTCGCTAAGGAATTTGGGCAACGGGTTGGGGAGTGGGTTACCCTGGGGTCTACTGAAGTAGTACAGGGTGAGATGAGGACTGGGTATTCCTGGTGTGTAGTCTAATGTATGGAGAGGGCACAGTTTTTTCTTGAGTGGAATCATAGAATATGAGAAGGATCATAAACGATAACTGCCATCAATTTAAATAATTTTTTAGCTGACTCTGGTACCTGCATATTACAGATGCTATACTCCTGGAATATTGGAAGGAGGGTCTGTGATTCCCGCAGCTTGTTTCCGTCTCACCTATCCGGCTGGTGAAGGCACAGGTCCATTTCTGCCTTCACAGGATGAGCGGACGCTTACCATGTGCCACTGATCAAACATCTGTTTTTAGTTTTTTTTTCTATTTTTTTAATCCTCACCCGAAGACTTTTTTTTTTTTTTTTTCATTTATCTTCAGATAGAGTGGGAGGAAGAGAGGGAGGAAGAGGGAGAGAGAGAGACATCGCCTGGTTGCCACCCACACGACCCCAACCGGGGCAGGACAAACTGCAACCAAGTATGTGCCCTTAGCAGGAACTGAACCTGGGTCTCTCTGGTCTGCAGGCTGACACTCTAACTGCTGAGCCAAACCAGTCAGGGCTGTTCTTAGTATTTTTAAAAAGATACCTTTTTTGCCCTGGCCAGTTTTGCTCAGTGGTTGGACTGCCTGCCTGTGGAGCAAAGAGTTGTGGGTTTGATTCTGGTCAAGGGCATGTACTTTTGCGGTTCCAGGCCCTGGTCGGGGTCATGTGGGAGGTAGCTGGTCGATGTGTCTCTCACATCAATGTTTCTCTCTCTCTCCCTCTCTATCGAAGATAAATGGAAAAATATCCTTGGGTAAAGATTTAAAAATAAAAATATCTTTTAAAAAATTAATTTTATTACAGGTTCCTCTTTCCCCCATTGACACCCTCCTCCCTGCTCCTATCAAAAATATGTTTTCATGAATTTTTTTTTCTTTTTTTTTATCCTCATCCGAGGACATGTTTCCATTTTTTTGTTCAGATAGAGTGGGAGGGAGAGAGAGAGAGAGAAACATCGACACAAAAGGAACACATCGAGTGGCTGTCTCCCGCACGACCCAACCAGGGCCAGGGACAAACTGCAACCAAGGTATGTGCCCTTAGCAGGAACCAAACCTGGGTCTCTCTGGGCTGCAGGCCGACGCTCTAACTGCTGAGCCAAACTGGTCAGGGCATCATGAATTTTTTTTTAAGAGAGGAAGGGAGAGGGAGAGAGATGTAGATGTGAGAGAGAAACATCAGTCACTGCCTCCTGCATGCCCCCAACTGGGGATTGAGCCTGCAACCCTGGGCATGTGGTTGCATGGAACAACATTCAGCCAACTGAGCCACACCACTGTTTTTTGTCTTGTTTTTCAAATTCACCAGGTCCAGTTTTGTTTTCTACCCTTATTTTCATTAACATACCTTTGGACTATAGGGACTTTGTTGATTTTTAGACCATGGTCTCTCTGTCTTACACATATAACACTGTTTATAGTTGCTTTGACCTCAACAACAAGCCTACATAATGAAGGTAAGAGCAGATGTGATTTTAGAGGGGGACCCAATAAATAACACCCTTTTTCTGAGCTTGGGCTCAGAACTAACAGAAATGGAGGAATGGCAGGCAGGTGAAGACCAATATCAGCTTAATTAAAACTTATGGAGCTGTTGGAGAACAGTGTGAGAGCCAAATGTGCCTGCCTTCTAACTCTGCTACCCAAGAACAATGCCAAGTCTCTTATAAGTCACACTTTTTTTTTGATATTTTGTTCAGATAGAGTGGGGGGCGGGGGAGAGAGAGAGAAACATCAATGTGAAGGGGACACATCGAGCGGCTGCCACCCACACAACCAACCAGGGCCGGGGACAAACTGCAACTGAGGTACGTGCCCTTAGTGGGAACCGAACCCAGGTCTCTCTGGACCGCAGGCCGATGCTCTAACCGCTGAGCCAAACCGGCCAGGGCATAAGTCACACTTAAAACAACAAAAATAATCTAAATAGTTAACAGGACATAATTATTTCAGCATTGCCCCACATCCACAAAACTTAGGAAGCAGGTCAATCCCCAGCTCATAGCAGATTGCAAATTTTTGTCCTTACACATCTGTCAGAAGACCCTGATCCTCAACGATATCTGAAGAAAGGTGAATAGGCTAAGAAAGTCTTGATTCAGTTTCACTGAGACTCAGGTAATTCTGTACCAGTTTTTCAGTCTCCAACTTGTGCATCTAAACTCAGTTGGGAGAATCATCCTTTAAGAGGTTATGACCTATGTTTATTGTATCCTGAGAGGCATCCACCTGTGTCTGTCTGGTCTTGCCTCTAATTAGTGGTATTAGTGGCAGCCCCAACCAGCTAGTCTGAGAACCAGGTCTTTTTTTTTTCATCCAACATGTTAAGTTTATTAATACTCTTTCCCCTTTGGACCCTCTGTTTCTGCCACCCCGGGGCTGCTTTGAGGGTGGGCTCTAATGACATAGCTTCCTCAAGTCCCTGTGAACAGTTTTTTTTTTATCCTCACCCGAGGACATTTTTGCATTTATCTTCAGATAGAGCAGGAGGGAGAGTGGGAGGAAGAGAGAGAAACATCGATGTGAGAGAGACATCGAGTGGTTGCCACCCACACAACCCCAACCAGGGCCGGGGACAAACTGCAACTGAGGTACGTGCACTTAGTGGGAACCAAACCCAGGCCTCTCTGGTCTGCGGGCTGATGCTCTAACAGCTGGGCCAAACTGGCCAGGGCCCTGTGAACAGTCTTAAGTGTCCACTGTCTTCTGCTGTTGAGTTACTCAGGCCTAGGAAACCTGCCTCCTGGGAAGGAAGGGGGTTCTTTACCCCTTATGTTTCAGTTGAGAATTACTTTTGGCAGTTTGTTCTTTCTGCTGAAGGTGCTATTCTTTCTTCTAAAGTTTGTTCCCCCATGGACCCAGTGAGAACTGAGACCTCTTCTTTGTGTTCCTCAAGATACTGTCCTCAGCTTCTGGATGTGTCTGGTGAAGTGTAGAATTTTTTTCCCAGACACTTCTCTGTTGACATTTTTCTCTTTGCTCTTCCCCTACTCCTTTCTAGAAGGGTCGCTGAGGTTCTAACATTTTTCTGTTGGAGAGAAGGAAGACCCATGGAGCTAGCTCCTTGCTAGGCCACAGAAATTGAGGAGGAGACCTGGCCCATTTGGCTCAGCAGTTGGAACGTTGGCCCGCGGACCTGAGAGTCCTGGGTTCAGTTCCCGCTAAGGGCATGAACCTCAGTTGCAGTTTATCCCCGGCCCCTGTTGGGGTCACGTGGGTGGCAGCTAGTTGATGTGTCTCTCTCACATCAATGTTTCTCTCTTCCCTTTCTCCCTCCCGCTCTATTTGAAGTTAAATGCAAAAAAAAAAAAAAAAAAATAGTGAGGAGGAAATGAGCCTCCTTAGAATTGTCTCTTAAGAAAATCTCCCTCTTTTTTTTCATTCTTGCAATGCTCTTAATCTGGTAGAGCAAGTTTCCAAATCCTGTTTTTCTTCCTGGACTTTGAGCATATGCGATCCCTAAAGACAATGTTCCAGACACAGGCTTTTCTCATGATCTTAACCTCTGTGGCTGTGGTAATTTCATTGCGTGTTTTTCCTACTCTAGTCTAAGAAGATGGCATATTTTGTTTCTAATAAGGGTACTGTTTCTTTTTTGTTATAAATAAAAGTTACCACTTTTTTACAATGGAAGCTGCTGGGTAAATCTCAACCAGAAAACCATGGCCAAAGTTACTGACAAACTGACCAGTAGGTGGGGAGTGACCCTTAAACCTAAAAGGTGTGAGCTGGCGGGAGATCACATCCACGACACAGGCCAGTGTAGAGCAAAATGGCTTTATTGCATGCACCTGGGTGCAGGCGGGCCGAGAAGGGCCCAGCCTCAAGCCTTTTTTGTTTTCTGGCTTATATAGGCACAAACTACAGAAATTACAAAAAAACTACATTCTTTTGGTGCCACTGTTTGGTGCCAGGGCTTACATGAACTGCTACAGAGGCGAGGAAGGAATCTTGCAGGGGACGGGATGAGCTTGTTACAGAGATCAGGGCAGTCATTAATCTCTTTCTTTTTTATAGTCCCTCCAAGTTTTCCAAGGCCACCATTAACCCCTTATCTTTATGGTTCTTCTGGGTGTCAGTCCCAGGGTTTTTAGAAAACTGCTTGGGTGTTTACATGCAGGAATAACTGGTTAGAATGGAGTTTAATTTTGTTAAAACATTACTAACCCCCCCTTTTTCCCCTCACCTGAGGACATTGCATTTATCTTCACATAGAGCGGGAGGGAGAGGAGGGAAGAGAGAGAGAGAAACATCATCAATGTGAGAAAAACACATCAACTGGTTGCCGCCCACACAACCCCAA